CTGAAACTATTAGAAGAAAATATTGGCAGTAACTTACAAGATATACGTGTAGGAAAGGATTTTCTAAATCAGACAGAAGTTACTCAGGAATTAAGGTCAGCAATCAACAAGTGGGACCTCATTAAACTAAAAATCTTCTGTACAGCAAATGAAACAATTAAAAGAAGCTGAGCGTGGTGGTGCATGCCTTTAATCCCAGCACTCAGGAGAAAACCCACAGGACAGGAAAAAATCTTCACCAGTGACACATCTGACAGAGGTTTAACGTCTAGAATATAAAAAAAACTAAAAAAAAAAAAAAAAAACAAAGACGCAAGAAACCAAACGACCCAATTAAAAGGTGGGCTAAAGATTGAAACAGAAAGTTCTCAAAGGAAGAAATAAAGATGGCTAAGAAACATCTCAAAAAGTGTTCAACATCATTAGTAACTAGGGAAATGCAAATTAAAACCACCCTAAAGTATCAGCTTACCTCAATCAGAATGGCTAGGATCAAGAGAACAGATGATACTAAATGCTGATGAGGATATGGAGAAAGGGGAACGCTCATTCACTGCTGGTAGGATTGCAAACTCACGCAACCTCTATGAAAACAGTGTGGAGAACTCTTAAAAAACTGAAAATGAATCAACCATATAACCTGGTTATACCACTCCTTGGCATATACCCAAAGGACTGATCCTACTGTAGAGACACTTGTATAACCATGTTTATTGCTGCTCTTTTCGCAACAGCTAAGAGATGGAAGCAACCTAAATGTCCTTCAGCTGACAAGTGGTTAACAAAAATGTGGTATATTTACACAATGGGGCTCTATTCAGCAGTAAAGAAAGATGAAATAATGAAATTTGCAGGTAAATGGATGGATCCAGAAACTTTTATACTAAGTGAAGTAACACAGACTCAGAAAAACAAACGACGTATGTTCTTCCTCGTATGTGGATCCTAGCACCAAATCCTTTTAAATTCCAGGTCCTTTTAATAAGATGATGCTGTACAGCAGTCCCTTCTGCATGAAATAACTACCATCATCACGACCTCAACTGAGCCTGATCGCTGAACATCATCACAATTGGGCTTGTTGAGGGTTGTGCTCATTCATTAAAGGAAGGCCAAGCAGGGTCATTGGACCCTCACTAGATTATCCAGTCACTCTTCCCAGCCAACTCTATATAATTTGATGCTAATCACACATGGCCTCCTGGATTTGGGGAGGGCTAAAGTATACAATCTGGGGAAGTCTAGGAAGAGAAGGCATGACCCATGCTGGGTAAAGCCTTTCCAGTGTGCATAACCTCAGGTCATACACACATCTCAGCAACCCCTCAGTTATCTCGGTAAGTAAGCTCAATAAATTCATTAGTCCCCCGGTAAAACTTTAATCAAACATTGGCTTGACCCTGGAACCTTAAAAGGGAATAAGCATTGCTTAGCATCCCCGGGAAAAGAAGTCTCACAACAGATTGAAAATTTATTTGTTAATGCTATTTGGTCTCATAATTATTTACAAAAAAGAAAATGAGAATTTAAAACATGCTAAAAGGATATGGGAATGGAGGTATTTTTCAAAATAGAAAAAAATGAGAAAGCCTAAGTAAGTGATAAAGGTCTGTTTAGGTTTGTTATGATGTATAAAGGGGAGACAAACATAATATATACATAAACTTAAAATTTCTATTGTCGTAGTTTAGTCAACTAGTTTAAGGAACAAAATATAAATCTAGTCAATGTTTATCTGAGAATATTTGGTTTTTTACCTAAGCCTTATCTACATAGCACATGGTAATTAAAAGTACCAGACTGGTGGAACTAACCTTATTGGATGTTTAACAGCCATGGTTTGAGGCCTATACTAATGTGGTCAGAGGGACTTAAAGGACAGTTTTTGCCCCTTGCCCTCCAAGGTCAACTAAGTTCCAGGAACTTATAGAACATCTCTCAAAATGTCCTGTAACTGTGGTGAGTCACCTGTCCTCTTGTTCAGGGAGGCCGTGGAGACCCCACGAGATGGATTTGAACCAGTGTCCGGTCTACAAGGAGGAGGATCAACCCAGAGGAAACATCTCATTCATGCTTCCAAGTGAAGCTAGATATAGTCGAGCAGGACCTTTGACTTACCTTCACATAGATGGAACTGGTAAAAGAAAGGACTCAGGAGCTCCTCCCAAGCCCATGTGACCCCTGAGGAACAGATTTTAAGTATAAAAATAAATTGATTTATTTGGGCCAACTGTATGGTCTTAAACACCTAAAGTAAAGTATAACCAAAGCATAATCAGTATATTTCTTTAAGAGTTCAAGGGATTACACTGCCCAGACTTAAGTTCTTATAAGATGTTATTTAGACAATTATCTCTCATTGATGACTTTGTTACTAATAAGACAGTGCTACTCAGATGTAAGACTTCAAATCTTGGTCTGCAATACTGTAGTGCCCACCTGCAGCTGCAGGAGACGACCCACTATTGTTCTAAAATGATGACTAAATTTGTTTTCTCTCCCTATCTAGAGGTCATTTAAGAGGGAACTGATTCTAGCCACTCCAACAGTCATTGAGAACAAATCCCGAGTTCATCATTCTTGAATTCAGCCTTGGAAGTTGTAATGGCCTGAATACCCAGCCTCTCTTCCCAGCCACTCCTTCCAGCCAACTAGTCCAGCCTTGGAAGACAAAAGAAAAATGAAGAAGAAACCAATAGAGCAATGCTTTTGGAAGCCCTTGTCAAGAAATTCCAGTGGACTCTCATATGAACATTTGAAAATGGCCCTGTTCTGATTTTTTTTTTCTAGTTCCCTGTCTGGAACTTGTAATGCTAATTACTCTTGCCTTTACTTCTCCTTCACATCTCCTATTCAAGATCCAAAGACTTTCTTTTCTTCCTAGAGATAATAGTTATGCAATTTAGGAGTCTTTTAGATAGACCCACTGAAGGGGCACTCCAAGTGCCTCACCCTGCTTCCCTGTTCAGTGTGGAAGAAGCTAGAGCAGTCTGTGTCCCGTTTCCCTATCCACAATTTGGGTAACCTCTTCAGATTATGGTGTGATAAGAATAAGAGGTAGGAACTGACTAGGCAGATAGGGTAAGAAGACCCCAAAGAAAAGTAGCCAGTTTCTTGGCTAAAACTTATAATGTCCTTGGGCCTCTTAGCAACATACTTCATTCCAAAGTCCAAAAATGTCAAAAATATTTGGGAGCTTTTATCTAATCCTTAAAAGATTTTAGGGTTACCTCTTCAGAGGGGGGAATGTTATAGTAGCCAAAAGCCCCATTAAAAAAATAAATACATCAAAGAAGGAGAAAGAGTATGAGGTTACCAGGAAAAAGTGATCGGGCACTATGGGAAGGGTTCGAGGGGAGGGAGTGGGCATGGATTTGATCAAAATACCTTATGGGCATGTATGAAATTCTCAATAAATTATTTATTTTAAAAAAATAGGTTGTCTCTTGCTGACTACATTGAAGGCAGATCAAACAGAAGCCCTTCGGTGGGAATCCCAACAACGTGTAGAGCTGTAACCTTACAATGTGCACAGTGACCCTTCAGTTCTGTGATTCCTGCCAAGCAATAAATCTGGGTTGCTATCTGCTTCATAAATTATCCCCTAAAATCCAAAATCCACAGCAAATAAAAGTGGGCGCCAAGCTGGGTGTTGTACCAGCCGCTGACCTCCACATGGTCTGTTGGATCTTCATCTTCTCATTTATTTCACACTTCTGAGAGTCTAAAGGCTCTTAACTTTCCTCTAGAGAAAATTCACTTTTATATTTAGAACATTCAAGTTCCAGTGAGCAACAGACATATTTCCATGTTTTCCAGTTTTTGCAATCTTAGCCTATTGTTTTAATGCACTTAATTTTGAATTCAAACATGCCTGCACTATTTCAACATGGTGTGGCAGAGGCTCATCTTTTAACACCAGGCCTTTACTTTCAAATTAAGTTACCAAAGTTGTTTCAGGTATGTGAAATGTGAGAATGGAGAGGGGTTTTCTTATGTTGCTGAGATTAGTAGAATCCAGTGCTTTGTTTCTTCCACAGTCAAGAAAAAAACTTTTCTTTTTTATATCTTTCATTTATTACTTTTATTTTATGTGTTTGAGTATATTGCCTGCATGTGTGTAAGTGCACGATGTCATGCAAAGCCCATGGAGGTCAGAAGAGGGCAGCAGATGTCCTAGAACTGGAGCTATGGATGGTTATAAGCCACCATGTGGGTGCTGGGAATCAAACCTGGGTCCTCCGCAAGAGCAGTCAGGGCTCTCACCACTGAGCTATCTCTCCAGCCCCCAGAGAAGTACTTTTCTAAGAGAAAGTAGAAATTACAAATGTGAGACAGAGAGAACAGTGTCTTAACAATTCATGTACTCTATTACTCGCTCTGATTGCTCAACCAGAAGGTAGACTCAACTAAATCAACAAAATCAAACCTGAAATTTTAATAACATGTATGCATTTCAGTGTGCATCACCCTCAGTCTCAAGTCCATGGCTACAGTCGGCAATTAACCTAATCACTGCAAGTACACAAAGCCGAATTTTAATAACATGTATGCATTTCAGTGTGCATCACCCTCAGTCTCAAGTCCATGGCTACAACTGACAATTAACCTAATCACTGCAAGTACACAAAGCCGGAGGATTATGCGGATCAGACTAGTTAGCTGTCTTCTTCATGCCTGGTTGTCCTCAGGGTACTTGGCCCCTCTTCAGTCATCTGGTGTTCTTGTCACGGCAAGGATATGGCAGTTTAGAGTGGACCTAGGGAAGAGTTAAGGAGATCCCTGAGCAGATGTCACATCTGGAACATGCTCTGCTGAGTCATTCAAAATCTTCCTCCTCAAAGACTCAGAGAATCTACTATGCTGCTTCCAAATAAACAACACTTGCAGGCAGCTGGGCCAAGCCAAGCAGGGGAGTGTTTGTTAAGGGCTGTATCACTGTGGGGGGAACATGTGTACCTTGTATAGAGTAATAAACTCCAAAGTCCTCAGACTCAACTCTACTGATTTTGAGTGTGAAATCTCCCTGACCCACTGCCACTGAACCTGTCTGGGACCCAAGAATACCAGTTAGAAACCTCATAGATCAGGGGGCTTGGAGACTGGCCTGGCTTCTGCAAGAGCCAAAACAAGTAGGTCTTTCCATTACTGTGTAGAGGGTTCTGACTAGACCTGCAGGAGATGGAGGCCGACTCTCTAGGAGCAACAGGCAAGGAGAGTGGAGTCTGTGTCATCACAGCGTCTCTACTGGATCCTAAAAACACAAGAGAGGAGTGCAAGGTTGTGAATGTGTGAATGAATGTATTGATACTTTTTATATTTTGTTTATTATTTATCCTTTGGTAGTCCAATTTCCTGGTCTAATATTCAATGTGTAGAAATTTACTGGCAAAGAACAGCAGAACCTCTGGGATTCTCCTACACTATCCTTGTCCACCAGTGTCAGAGTCTTCAGCAGAGTACAGGTCCTTGTTCCTTCTGAAGCATTACTCTCCCTTACAGATGTAGTCTTCCTTAGCCCATCCTGAAGGACAACGTCTGCACACCTCACAGGAAACATGGGCATCATAGATGTCTAGAGTGCACATTCCCACCTTCTTCTCCGTCCTCATCGCCATCTGTCCTTACCTGGGATCCAGAGCATAACCAGCCCCAGGAGCTGAGCAGGGCACCTCATTCTGAGAAGCTGACTGAGGAGTCCTGGGCAGTCAAGGCAAGAACACAGCTGAGCTTTTATCTTAGACTTGCAGAGCTGAAAGTGATATGCAAATTCCCCGGTGGTGTAACAGTGTGTGAAGAGCCAAGTGGATATAAGTACTGTGCTTGGGAGCAAAGTGACAGAAATATTTTCTGTGTTGGCAAGAACTCCAGGGTAGTCTGTATGGCCTGCAACAGTGGGCAGAGGACTCCAGTGTGGAAGTCTTGGCCTGTGGGGATGACTTGGTGCAAACGGCTCTGTCACTATTTGGCAACACAGAGAACCAGCAACATAGAGGTGGGTCCACAAGGCAATCAGTGAGGGGGACTTGGCAGTGTTTGGCTTTCTCACAGTTAGTCTAGAGCAAAGAACTTATCCACTCCCACAAGTGGCAATGCTTAAGTACTTTATCCAGTAACAGAATTGTTTTGAATAAGTATTTGTTATATCTGTTGTGTCCAGGATAACTGTGTATGGTTGTTCAATCACTGTGAGAAACAATCCTTCCCTGGGACATAACAAATTTCCATAATAACAGTCAAACATAAAGAAATGACATGGAAAAAAATCGTTCCCTTTCAAATAGAAAGTTCACTTTCTCTTCAGAAGCAGAGAAATTTATGCTTCAGAGTGGGAATGTGAAATTCTCTATAACATTTTGCAGTCAATGTCCTGTCATTCTTCAGCATCGTGTCTGTGATTAACAAAAGTCAAAAGTCTTTCTTAAGAATTGCTTCTAGTCAGTGGCATAGAACAACAACAAAAAAAAAACTTTTAGTTTCTTGTGTCGTTTTGTTTTTTCATTTGTATGTGGGTATTGGGTGGGTATAGGTGTGTATGCATGTTCATATGTGTTGGTGCACATTTCTGCACAGACACTCGTGTGTGTATGTGTGTGTGTGTGTGTGTAAGTGTGTGTGTATGTGTTTGCGGCCAATATGAAAACAGATGTCTTCCTCAACTTCACATATTGAGGCAGGTCTGACAAGTGGATCCATAACTTGCTGATTTGTCTACTATAGCTATTCAACTTGACCTGGGGAGCTGCTGCCTCTGCCTCTAGAGTGCTAGGATTGTGGGCAGCTGCAATGCCTGCCTGAGTACATGAGCTCTGGGGATCCAAACTCCAGTCCTCAAGCTTCTATGGCAACAGCATTATCCACTAAGACTCCTCCCCAGGCCTACTGTTTATATCAATGTTTTTCTTTTTGAAATATTTCTTTATTCTTGAAATTTTCCTGCATGTAATTAATGAAATATGATCCTATTCATCCCTCATTTCTCCTCCAACTTCTCCCTATTTTCCCAACACATCCCTGTCCTAACTTCATATCTTCCCTTTTTTGTAATTTATTTTCCCCACTAAGTCCAATTAGTGCTGCACATATGTACATGGGTATTGGGGCCATACACCGGAGCATGGAAACCTACCAGTGACCTCACCCTGAGAAAAGTTGATTCTCCTCCCCAGCAGCTGTCAACTGCCAGTAGCTCCTCAGCAAGGAATGGGCCTCGGGATCACCTCTACCATCTGTGGATGAATTTTCACTGGCTTCATCTTATGCAGCAAGATGCACTATACAACTGCTGTGAGTTCAAAAATGAGACAGCTTGTCATGTCCGGAAGACACCTTTGTCCAGCAGATCCAGGCTTTGCCAGAATTTAAAAAAAAATTTCTTCCATATGTGAGAACATCAGGTTCTAACATGGCCGTATATGGAACATCCACAGCCACGGGTTCAGAGTTCAAACTGAATCCTATGCATTAGAAAAGCAAGACCTGGATTTACTATTTAATGATTCATTACAACCTGCATTTGTGACTGAGGTTTAGATGGACCTTAAAGAAAATAGTTGCTATGTAATTACTGCACTGAGTGACTGATATTTGGGTTTCTAGTAATCTCAACTCTGAGAATGTCTGCAGTTTTGTCCCAAAATTTGCTACACTGTTACTGAAGCCTCAGAAATGAATACTCTGGGTCAACTATGAAAACTTGGATTATTGGGAAAAGAATAAGTGTGATTAATCAGTGACAGTGTTTTTCAAAGTGCTGAAAATGTGTCTGTGAATGCTCAGTCATAAAAGTAACGTCTGTATCAACCCTCCCTTCTGAAGACTCAGAGAACATTGTGGAAGAGTGAGTGGAAAGAATATAAGAGCTGGAGGATGGGGAGGAGTGCTGTGACAGGCTGCCTCTGGATATGACGTGACTGCTGTGCGCGTGAATGCACAACAGCACTGTTACCTGCAGGAGACATGCACAAGATCAAATAAGTTAAAACGTCAGCATGGAGGGGCACGGCCTCCAAAGTTCTCACTCTTAGCACAAGAGCGTTTGGCTTCTAGGAGAGGAGGAGTTACTTTTCTTCTGTTGACACTGGTAGATTCCCCATGCCCCAGTGACTGACCCTATGCCAATAAGCACATGGATAAAAATATTTGGACTTGGGGTGGGGTCCATATGTATAAGGGAGATGAGATGGGGAGTCTGTTGGGGGCAGCTGTAGTGGAAAATGAGGGGCGTAACTGTTCAAGATACATTGTATGCATGCATGAAGTTTACAAACAATACATTTTAAAAAGGAGAACAGCTCTGAGAGAGCTGTCATGGTTCCCTATGCAATAAACTTGCTCCTGAGAACTTTCAAAAAGGAATGCTATAAGATACTTGAATTTCAGAGAAGACTGAATTTGTTTTGGCTTTTGTTTGCTTCACATGTTGTTTTGTGTGTGTCTGTGTGTGTGTAATTGACACAAAAACATAAACACCTCCCCTTCTGACTATGTAAAATTAACACTGCAATTGCCAAACTGATTCCATTTTTTTTATAGTTGATTTTACTCTACCCTCTGTTTCGGCCGAGCCGCCCTCCCACCCCCACACCCACTCATGTAACTGCACCCAGGCAGGAGGAATGTTTACATGCAAGCAGTATGTTGTTTCTAGTTTTCCAGTACAAAAAGTATCTTGGATTCTAATGAAACTTAAACCAAATGTCATCAATTCCTATGCTAAATATGTGTTTATCCATGTCCACATCAGTACAGTACAGCAACAGGAAGAATGGAACCAGCCTTGATGTCAGCATGCACACCATGGCACGTGGGGCCCAATGATCTTGGCGATGCGTGGATAGAGGTGGTTGAGGCCCCAGTGCTGCAGCCTGGATGTAATCATCCCAGCACCTTTTAATGAGCTGAAGTACAAAGGCAGTTGTAGCATCAGCCTGCCAGGAATCAGTTCCCCTGAGGACTGACAATTCTATTCCATTCTTACAGGAATCAGTTCCCCTGAGGACTGACAATTCTATTCCATTCTTACAGGAATCAGTTCCCCTGAGGACTGACAATTCTATTCCATTCTTACAGGAATCAGTTCCCCTGAGGACTGACAATTCTATTCCATTCTTACAGGAATCAGTTCCCCTGAGGACTGACAATTCTATTCCATTCTTACAGGAATCAGTTCCCCTGAGGACTGACAATTCTATTCCATTCTTACAGGAATCAGTTCCCCTGAGGACTGACAATTCTATTCCATTCTTACAGGAATCAGTTCCCCTGAGGACTGACAATTCTATTCCATTCTTACAGGAATCAGTTCCCCTGAGGACTGACAATTCTATTCCATTCTTACAGGAATCAGTTCCCCTGAGGACTGACAATTCTATTCCATTCTTACAGGAATCAGTTCCCCTGAGGACTGACAATTCTATTCCATTCTTACAGGAATCAGTTCCCCTGAGGACTGACAATTCTATTCCATTCTTACAGGAATCAGTTCCCCTGAGGACTGACAATTCTATTCCATTCTTACAGGAATCAGTTCCCCTGAGGACTGACAATTCTATTCCATTCTTACAGGAATCAGTTCCCCTGAGGACTGACAATTCTATTCCATTCTTACAGGAATCAGTTCCCCTGAGGACTGACAATTCTATTCCATTCTTACAGGAATCAGTTCCCCTGAGGACTGACAATTCTATTCCATTCTTACAGGAATCAGTTCCCCTGAGGACTGACAATTCTATTCCATTCTTACAGGAATCAGTTCCCCTGAGGACTGACAATTCTATTCCATTCTTACAGGAATCAGTTCCCCTGAGGACTGACAATTCTATTCCATTCTTACAGGAATCAGTTCCCCTGAGGACTGACAATTCTATTCCATTCTTACAGGAATCAGTTCCCCTGAGGACTGACAATTCTATTCCATTCTTACAGGAATCAGTTCCCCTGAGGACTGACAATTCTATTCCATTCTTACAGGAATCAGTTCCCCTGAGGACTGACAATTCTATTCCATTCTTACAGGAATCAGTTCCCCTGAGGACTGACAATTCTATTCCATTCTTACAGGAATCAGTTCCCCTGAGGACTGACAATTCTATTCCATTCTTACAGGAATCAGTTCCCCTGAGGACTGACAATTCTATTCCATTCTTACAGGAATCAGTTCCCCTGAGGACTGACAATTCTATTCCATTCTTACAGGAATCAGTTCCCCTGAGGACTGACAATTCTATTCCATTCTTACAGGAATCAGTTCCCCTGAGGACTGACAATTCTATTCCATTCTTACAGGAATCAGTTCCCCTGAGGACTGACAATTCTATTCCATTCTTACAGGAATCAGTTCCCCTGAGGACTGACAATTCTATTCCATTCTTACAGGAATCAGTTCCCCTGAGGACTGACAATTCTATTCCATTCTTACAGGAATCAGTTCCCCTGAGGACTGACAATTCTATTCCATTCTTACAGGAATCAGTTCCCCTGAGGACTGACAATTCTATTCCATTCTTACAGGAATCAGTTCCCCTGAGGACTGACAATTCTATTCCATTCTTACAGGAATCAGTTCCCCTGAGGACTGACAATTCTATTCCATTCTTACAGGAATCAGTTCCCCTGAGGACTGACAATTCTATTCCATTCTTACAGGAATCAGTTCCCCTGAGGACTGACAATTCT